GAGACAACCTCCTGAACAGAACACCAACAGCACAGGCTCTAAGAGCAACGATCAATAAATGGGACCTCATGAAACTGAAAAGCTTCTGTAAAGCAAAGGACACTGTCATCAACAAACCAAGTAATCCAATTAAAAAAATGGGAAACAGAGATAAACAGAGAATTCTCAATAGAAGAATATTGAATGGCAGAGAAACATTTAAAGAAATGCTCAACCTCATTAGCCATCAGGGAAATGCAAATCAAAACAACCCTGAGATTTCACCTTACACCCATCAGAATGGCCAAGATCAAAAACTCAAGTGACAACACATGCTGGAGAGGTTGTGGAGAAAGGGGAACCCTCCTCCACTGCTGGTGGGAATATAAGCTTGTACAACCACTCTGGAAATCAATCTGGCGCTCTCTCAGACAACTAGGAATAGCACTTCCTCAAGATCCAGCTATAACAACTCCTAGGCATATATCCAAAAGAGGCTCAAGTACACAATAAGGATATTTGCCCAACCATGTTTATAGCAGCTTTATTTATAATAGCCAGAAGCTGGAAACAACCCAGATGCCCTTCAACTGAAGAATGGATACAGAAACTGTGGTACATCTACACCATGGAATATTACTCAGCAATGAAAAACAAGGAAATCATGAAATTTGCAGGTAAATGGTGAGATCTGGAAAGGATCATCCTGAGTGAGCTATCCCAGAAGCAGAAAGACACACACGGTATATACTCACTCATATAGACATATAAGATAAATCTACTAAAATCTGTACACCTAAAGAAACTAATCAAGAGGGAGGACTCTTGCTAAAATGCTCAATCCCCATCCTGAAAGGCAAAGAGGACAGATATCAAAAGAAGAAGAAAACAGGAAACAAGTTAGGAACCTGCCACAGAGGGCCTCTGAAAGGCTCTGCCCTGCAGACTATCAAAGCAGATGCTGAGACTTATGGCCAACTGTTGGGCAGAGTGCATGGAATCTTATGAAAGAAGTGGGAAATAGTAAGATCTGGAGAGGACAGGAACTCCACAAGGAGAGCAACAGAACCAGAAAATTTGAACACAGGGGTCCTTCCAGAGACTCATACTCCAACCAAGTACCACACATGGGGATAACCTAGAACCCCTGCACAGATGTAGCCCATGGCAGTTCAGTGTCCTAATGGGTTCAATAGTAATGGGAACAGGGACTGCCTCTGACATGAACTGATTGGCCTGCTCTTTGATCACCTCCCCCTGAGGGGGGAGCAGCATTACCAGGCCACAGAAGATGACAATGCAGCCACTCCTGATGAGATCTGATAGACTAGGATCAGAAGGAAGGAGAGGAAGACCTCTCCTATCAGCAGACTTGGGGAGGTGCATTCGTGGAGAAGGGGGAGGATAGGTGGGATTAAGGGGAGGAGGGAGGTGTTTATGGGGGGATACAAAGTGAATAAATTATAATTAATAAAAATAAAAAGAAAAAATTATTTCATATTTCATTATGTAACAGGAATAAGAGAAAGGCATGGAAAGCCCTGGATAAAGCCCAAAGTAAGACGGCAGAAGTGTAAGTATATCAGTAATTATAATAATAATAGAATAATCTTACGTTAACAAAAAAATATTTTAATACACTGTGCATATTTCTTAAAATGTATGAATCAAATTATCTTGGGCTATCTTCAACCCCTTATTAAACATCCACTGCCCCTCTGTGTATGTGAGACACAGCATGTTTATGACTATGAGGTGTGGAATACCTCAGGTATGTGTGAACAGCTCCCGCCAACCCCAAAGCTAAGAATGTCACCAGTGAGACCTTTAGGGCAGATTTCACCTGAAGTGCCTGTTTGAATTCATGGAAAGAAGCTGTCCTGCATAGGCTGTTTGATTTTCACCATGAAGAATCAGTCTTGAGCGAGGATAAGTAACCAAATGGCTTCTTGATTTCTTTGCTTGCATTTTGTTTTTGTTGTTTTCATCTGGTATGAGACAGAATCTCAGTCCACATTGGCCTGGACCTACCGCACTTTCGGAGGTTTGAAGGTAGGATGATGACCTTCTTGCCTCAGCCTCCCATATGCTAGGATTGCAGGTATAAGTAATCATACTTGGCTGTCTTCTAAATCTTAAAGTGTAAATTCAGATGCTGGAGAGGTGGCTCAGCAGTTAAGAGCATGAGCTGCTGGGGGTTTAATTCCCAGCACTGACATGGTGGCTCACAACAGTCTGTGGCCCCAGTTCTAGGTGATCTAACACCCTCCAGCCTCCTTGAGCAGCAGGCATACATGGACCCATAATTATCAAAATACTCCTTCTAAGACAAAGGCCTATCTAGAGTCTCTTATTCTTTCAATTCTGAAACACAGCTATAGGCCAGACACATTCAGGTTTGAATACTAGCCCACAAATCACAGTTAATTACTCCAGTCAACTTAATTATTTTGGTTTGTTGTGCTTCAATTTTTTCACCTGTAAAAAAGCATCATATTTTCTTCCTAAGATGATATCTGTGAAATAAATTTATGTACATGTATATTTATATGTATCACAACATGTGTCTTAATTTAAAAAAGGCAATCAATAGATAATAGCTACTATAACATATAGGAGGAGGATAGTCATTTGTTCATTCAAGAGATATTAAAGAATTTCTTATTGGCAGATTTTAGGAGATATAGAAATGAATAAATGGTTCTTTGTTATACTATCTAGCATGTTTGCTTGTGTCAGACAACTAATGTGTATAATCTTACTTTAGCCATCCCAATCTTATTAAATATCACTACTTTCACTGTCCAAGCCAACTTCACAGCTAGTGGTAAAAACTGGATTAAGGAGTGCTATACCACTCCCAAATTTCTATCCTAAACCATTAATTCTCTGCTTCACCCAGATGACAACTTAATGTTCAGGCAAATGCAAAGCTGCAGTTCATAGACTTTGTTTTTATTATTTTGGGCACAAAGTAAAAGTCCTCTAAAAATATGGTTTCACAGCCATGGAATCTAGCAAGACAGTGATAACTGAGTTCTCTTTTTGTCTCTTGTTGCTGCTGCAGTTGTTTTGGTTTTGCTGTTGCCGTTTGGTTGGCTTGGCTTGGTGTTGAGGCAGAGTCTCAGCCTATATATAGTCTATCCTAGCCTATACTTCACCTCAGTCCTCATAGTTCAGATTTCTCAATCCTGGGACCACAAGTGTTTGCCACTTAGCTTCTGCTGAGTTCTTGTCTTCTCTGACTTTCTTGTTTAAGAAAAGTAACATTTCTGTGGAGCACTGTCTTCCTGATTCATCTCAATTGTGTGGCTTTCACATATAATTTTTTTTCCCCTGAGAGTTACAAAACGAACTCTGGCATATCCCAAGAATTTAACTTGGTTTATTTTTTTTATGAAGGACACACTTATTTAATGATGGATTTATTTAATGATGAGATTTAATGTGGGAGTCCCATTTGATTCAAAGGAAGATGCGCTCTCTAAGCGTGTCTTCTTACACTTCCCAAATTCAACAAGTTGTGGTGAAAATCCACTGTTTTTGAAACTAGATCCTTCTCCTTCAGTTGCTATAGATCTTTGCTACATATGTGAAGGGAACTGCTACAACTATCAGATACAATTAATTACTTCCCCGAGCTTGACAATAACAAAAGAACCGGCTGAATTCCAGGAAGGGGTCAATACTGAGACAGTGTAACAAAACTAGGAAGGTTGCTGTTTCCTTCTCTTAAAACCTCACCTTTTCACTGTAGGGGGAGCACTCTTGTGCACAACCCTGGAGAACTGATTCTCTCCCTCCATCATGTGGGAACCAGGGATGGAACTCAGGTCCTAGGTTTGGCACCAAGTACCTAATTTACCTGCTGAGCATTCTCTACTTGTCCATAGATATTCAATTTCTTAAATTGCTAGAAATTCTCTTTGAATTTAAAAATAAAAAACGAGCAAAGGATAGCTGAGGCATACTGAGTGGTAGCCTGTTTACTCAGGGCACCCTGAGTTTTACCCTCAGCACCAGAAAACAACAAACAAACAAACAAAAGAGCAAACAACTTTCTCCTCCAAGCATGGCTACTTTACAGAAAAAAGTTATAGACTATACTGAGACTCTTGAATGAGGCTGTTTCATATTTTGATCACCTCTCCAAAGCATTTGAAAATAAATCAAGTACAATAATGCTGTAAGGGATCTGCCCAGTATCTGCACTGAAAACAGCTGACGAACAAAAGGCGATGACTAAATAACCCTTTCCAAAATGCACAAGTCTTTTCAAAGCAAAATGTTTTCACTTAATAAAAAAAAAAACGTTTTCATTCAGTTTGGTGAATCACACCTAGAACTCGAAGAGATTTCCGGAATACTGTTTTCAGTCTCCTACTTCTTCAAGAAACAATTACAGAGGAGTATCCACAATTCAGTTCCCTGTTCACACATCTTCTCACATCATGACCTTATCTAATGGGAGCACATACTTAACAGCACATCATCTATCACCATTTTCTGATGTGTACCTGCTACCGCTTTGAGACAGGTCTAGACAGCGCACACTTAACTATCCTCAACACGTATCCTATTTAAATAATCAAAGCTGCCTGCTCATTACAAAATGAAAGTAAACGAAGGGTGAGATTTCTTTTTAATATTCAAAGAATTAAAACTATAAATATTTATTACTGATCTCTGATTGTCTGGCTTTAGCCCTCAGGAAAGCAGACTAGCGCCAGAAAACTAAGGTCAACTGAACACAAGAATTTAGCGAAGCTATAGAAAACAGGCTGTACAATCTATAATAAAACTTCTTGTAAAGACACTTTGTTCTGAAGAACAAGCAGTTACTAGAGAAGCTTTGAGAGAAAGGACAAACTAACTAGTAAGAGCGTCCTGAGGGTCTAACCACGAGAGGGCGTCACCACCGCGGCTCGCTGCTCGCCCCTGGCCCCCTCCCAGCCACACCCACCCACGGCACGCCCCCCACCAGCTCAGCCTCCTGCTCGCCGCGCCCGCCCGCCGCTCACCTGCGGCCTGGCCCCGAACCGCGCCGCGGTCAGCGCGCGGCAAGTGCGGCGAGGGCCTGCTCCAGGGCCGGGGGATCCCGGGCGGCAGGTAGGAGCCTGACTTCCGCCGGATCGCCACCCGCCTGAAGTCGTAGTCGCCCCCGCTGTTCATGGTGGCCTGCGGTCACTCCCGGAAGCCCCGTCCCCGCGTCCAGGCTGAGCGGCGCCAGCCGCCCCCTGCAGGCCTCGCCTCCCCGGCCGCCGGCTCCGCTCCGTCAGACCCACGGGCGGCGGCTGGCCGAGGCCGCCTCCAGCGCACAGCCAATCGCCGGAGCGCAGCGCGGGCCCGTCCGGGCGCGCGCCGGGGAGGCTTGGGGTGACCGGCGCCGCCCATTGGCCCAGCGGAAGGCTGCCTGCACCTGCCCGACTCACCTGAACCTCAGAAACGCCTCGCCCGCCGGCTCACCTACCGACCACGCCCTGGATGCCGGAAGAACAGTCCCACTGTTTACCACACTTCAAAGGTCAAAGTCTCCCAGGCCGCCTTGCTGCACACGCAGGGTAAGGAAACCAAGCTTTGAAACTGACTGAGAAGAGTTAGCACTGCAGAGTGGAATTCCAAGCCTGGTCTGCACCACACTCCCTTTTCTTTAGGAAGAAACGAATCATCTTATCAGGAGCAATGTTCAAAGAATAAGGAAGCACAGTTCTCACCTTAAAGGGACCCGAGAACACAGATTTAGTTTACCCCAAAATTCCATGTTCCAACGTGGAAGTCAAAGCAAGATTAAAGTACATTGGTAGGTATATCAGAGAGGCGGTTACAAGCAAGATGGAGGCTATTTACTACCTCAACGACATTCTTAGCTTTGGGGTTGCTAGAAGTCAGTGAGTCTCTTAAGTCAGTAGATTCCAAAGGTCACAGGATTCTAGTTTTAATGCAGAGGAGGGCAAGAAACAGCTGTTCCCTGTAGCTAAAGCTAGCCCAAGATAAGATGATTAACTTTATGGGCCTGCAGCATTCCAACCTCTCCAACATTACAAACAGCAATCAGTCTCTGAAGACAGGTTCCTTTCAGATTTCATCCACAGAGTACACTGTAATTGAAGCAAACATCCACTGGTTTCCAGAACGGCACAAGACCCCATTCATCATGACCACTATTAAAAATAATGTACATTCAAGAGATTGTGAAAACGAAGTGGTTTTTAATATACAATTCCACAGAAAAGAGACATGACTGTAGAGAAAAGGCAAAGTAGCTAGCATGGTGATCTGGCTCAAGGAAATTGCTTTTAAAGTCCCCTGAGAACAAGAAAGGTTTGTCCTTTCTTCTCATAGAACAGGATTTGCTCTCTTTCAAAATCTCCCATCATATTGGTTTAGGATATAGCATCTTATTTAATAAATAATTTGGGTCTTCACACTGTCTCCTTTTTTGATCTAGGCTCAGTCACATAGCAGACTACTCATACTTTTCCAACTCTCTTTAGAGCTGTGAGATTAGCTGACTCTAGCTAGGAGAGAGAGGAGCCTGGGGATGTCTGTTTATCTACTGATCATGAACTTTAGCACACTTCATACTGAAAAAGCACCATTCCTTACACTGCTTTAAGGAATCGAGTGGTAATGCAGTAATGCACTTTATAGAGTTCTTTTGAATTTCGAGAAAGAGAGAGAGAGATACAAAAGAATGCATATATGTTGGGAGCCTGTAGTCCCTGTTGTTGGGGAAGCTGGAGCAGGAAAATTACTTGAATCCAGAATGCTGAAGTCAACCTAGGCAGCATAGTGAGACCTTGAACATGTGTGTGTGCAGGTGCATGTTCATCTGTGTGTGATCACTACCCTGTCTCGTAAGAGGTAGTGTTCCTAGGGGAAAGGGTACATTCAAGTTCTTTGGCTCCAGCAGTTTCACAGCTGTTATATTAATTTTGGAAGCCTCCCAAAATTGCTTCAAATACTCCTACACCCAGCTCCATAAAGTATAGCCCATAATCCAGCTCGTCTCAGCTCGATTGTTTTTTAGTTTTCTTGGCTTCTATTCCAATAAAAATAGCCTTAAAAGAAGTAACTATTCTTCCAATTTATTATTATCATTATTGTATGTGTTGCTGAGGTTCAAACCTAGGACTTTCCATATGATAGATAAGCATTCTACTGCTGTACCATTTCCACAGCCCTAGTAATGTACCTGCTTAGATCTTATTTAAAGGGGCATTTGCTCCTTAGGGCATATTCTTTATTACCACAATGCTACAGCTAATTACTGTCTCTTTCTGTGCAATGGCTGTTTAATCTTCTATGCCATAAACAAGTGACTTTAATTATAGATGTACCCATTCCTAGTTTTCTTGGTGCAGACCTATATGTAATGTCAGCTACTTGACATTGTATAGGTCAAACATGTACATTACATACACAAACCAAGAAGGTTGGACAGCCAGTGTGGTCAAGGACAGCTTGGTCACTTACCAAGATTCTGACTCCAAAAAAGGATATTTTTTGAGGACTGGAGATATTGCTCAGTGGTAGAATTCTTGCCTAGTATGTTCAGACACTGGATACCATCTCTAGCACAATAAAATAAACAATATAGAAAGAGGTCTTGCTTCCATGTATATAAATTAAATATAATTCAAACGCAAATTTCTATCCTATGTTACTACAATGTTCAATAAAAGGGCATTGTTTCAATTAATAATACTGCATTAGGAGTATTGCTTAATTATTTTAAAGTGAAAAGAGGCCTAGCAAGCTTCGCTTTAGAGAGGATTTATCAAACAAAACATTTTCCTTAGCAGATAATTTTCTTTCTATAGTAAATACACCTTCATGGAGCAAAGAGAAATTTTAATGTTTTTATTTAGGACAGCAATTTCAAGCTGCTTCATTTGAAGAATTTTTCTTATAATTTATTCATTTTTTAGCCCTGCTGTATCCTCCTCCCTCATTTCCTCCTATGCCCACTCACCCTCCCTCTTCTCCCCCGATGCCCTTTCCCTGGTCCCCTGGTAGAGGAGTACCGCCTCCCCTTCTATCTGACCCTAGCTTATCAGGTCTCATGAGGAATGGCTGCATCATCTTCCTCTGTGGCCTGGCAAGGCTGCACCCCCCACCCAGGGGGAGCTCAAAATAAAACCAGACACACTAAATCTGTTAGAAGAAAAAGTGGGGAAGAGCCTGGAACTCATTGGCACAGGAGACAACTTCCTGAACAGAACACCAGCAGCACAGGCTCTAAAATCAACAATCAATAAATGGGACCTCATGAAACTGAAAGACACCTTTCAAGTAAAGGATGCAGACTGGGAAAAGATCTTCACCGACCTTACATCTGACAGAGGGCTAATATCCAGAATATATAAAGAACTCAAGAAGTTAAACACCAACAAATCAAGTAATCCAATTAAAAATGGGGTAGAGAGCTAATTCAGAGAATTCTCAATAAAGGAATATCAAATGGCAAAGAAATGCTCAACATCCTTAGTCATCAGGGAAATGCAAATCAAAACGACCCTGAGAGTCCACCTCACATCCATCAGAATGGCTAAGATAAAAAACTCAAGGGATGACGCATTTGAAGATTTTCAAATCCTGTTTCTGTTTCTTGATGTAAGTTGTTCACATTTACCTCATATAGTTGCACATCGATACATGTCTGTGTTTTCACATGGAATATTTTACAGCTTCTACCAAGAATTGAACTAACACAAAATCCTTGTATCATGAAGCTGAGATTATTTTAATATAAATCATATTTTCATGACAGTATCTTCTTTTTTAATTTTTATTTTTATTAATTATACTTTATTCACTTTGTATCCTTCCATAAGCCCCTCCCACCCCCTCCTTCACGCATGCCCCTCCCCAAGTTCAGTGATAGGGGAGGTCCTCCTCTCCTTCCTTCTGATCTTAGTCTATCAGATCTCATCAGAAGGGGCTGCATTGTCATCTTCTGTGGCCTGGTAAGGCTGCTCCCCCCTCAGAGGGAGGTGATCAAAGAGCAGGCCAATCAGATTGTGTCAGAGGCAGTCCCTCTTCCCATTACTATGTAGCCCACTTGGACACTAAACTGCCATGGGCTACATCTGTGCAGGGGTTCTAGGTTATCTCCATGCATGGTACTTGGTTGGAGTATGAGTCTCTGGGAAGACCCCTGTGGACAGTATCTTCTATTTAGGCCATTCTAGCTTTGAGTTCACTGTGTAACTCAGCCTGGCCTGAAATTTGCAAACATTATCCTGCTTGAGTCTCGGGATAAAAGAAGTACCCCATCATGCCTAGTTAATAGAAACCATTTCTAAAGGACCTTGTGTTGGTGACTGTATTTTACCACGCTAAATAAATGAAATCAACAGATACTATTTTATTTCAAGTTACATTTGTGTAAGGTAGGACAGAACATTGGGTATTATCTTAGCTATGTAGATTTATCATAACATTTGGTTTATTAATATAGTTAATAGGAAAATTTCCACTAACTCATCAGTATCTATTGCATGAGAAATGTACTGGATACTAAAGAGAGTGACAAGCAAAATAGACAGGTGTTGCCATCCTGTTCTGTGACTGAGACAATTCTGAATCCTAATCAAACCCTTTATAGTTTTCCTTGGGTAAACAACATTTAAACTGTACTTGTGGAGCTAAGGATGTAGTTCAGTGAGAGAAACCTTACTTAGTCAACTGTCATAGCTCCTGCCCATAGTTCCATACTTACAAGGCTGAAACAGAAGGATTATGAAATTAATGCCAGTTTGAGAAACAAAGGCTCTCTTCACAAAAAAAGGAAAGGAAGAAATAGAAAGGAAAGTGAGGTAGCATTGAAGCTAGGAAGCCCTGAGCTATTTATGAAAGAGAGTAGAAAATGCTTTTCCTTCTAGCTACCACTTAGAATGCCAATGGATTCTAACATTGTGTACCACAATGAAAAAGAGTTATCAGGAATTAACATATAACGTCAGACTTGGAGTATTTTAAAAAGGCTTTGGACTGGGCATGCTTCTAACCTTTATCTTTTCTAATGTAGAAAAATTATATGCTAGAAGACAGGTGTGGTGGCACACACCTTTAATCCTAGTACTCTCCAGGCAGAGGCAGGCAGATCTCTGTGAGTTTGAGGCTAGCCTGATCTATATGGTGAGATTCATGACAGCCAAAACTACACAGAGAGACCCTGTTTCAAAATGTGTGTGTGTGTGTGTGTGTGTGTGTGTGTGTGTGTGTGTGTGTGTTGAGACTAGAGA